TTTTTTTTGTTTTTTTGAGACAGGGTTTCTCTGTGTAGCTTTGCGCCTTTCCTGGAGCTCACTTGGTAGCCCAGGCTGGCCCCGAACTCACAGAGATCCACCTGCCTCTGCCTCCCAAGTGCTGGGATTAAAGGCGTGCACCACCACGCCCGGCAAGTTTCTGTTTTCTAATTGCACTTAAATCCTTATAGTATTTGTCCATCGTTTTTCTTATTGAAATCCATTCTCCCGTTATTTTTAAATAAAAATGTTTGTTGGGGAGAGTTAGAGGTGTTTTGGTTTAGTTTGGATTGGGATTTTAGAAACAGGATTTCACTCGGTGACTTTGCAACTGAGTATGTAGACTATTATGTCCCCAAACTTGCGGCAGTCATCCTGCCTCTGCTTCTGAAGTGCTGGGATTATAGGAATGTACCGCTACACTCAGCTGCCATTTCTTTTCAAAATGTTTTTATTGAGATACAATTCATGTACCATAAAACTTACACATTTAAAATTTACAATCCACTGTTTTCAGCATATTTACAGAGTTGCATGGCCATAATGACAGCTTAGTTTTAGAATATGTCATCATGCCCAAAAAAGCTATCCTGCTTGAACCCACCACAGCTGTCTTGCTTGGACAATCACAGATGTCCACATGATTCTATTTCTTCCTTTGTCTCATACAGCCATTCTTTTTGTTTGTTTTTGTGTTTTGTTTTTTGAGACAGGGTTTCTCTGTGTAACAGCCCTTGCTGTCCTGGAACTCGCTTTGTCAACCAGCTTGGCCTTGAACTCGCTGAGATCCACCTTCCTCTGCTTCCCAAGTGCTGGGATTAAATCTGTGCACCACCACCGCCTCGCTCATACAGCCATTCTTAACACACAAGCCAAAATGATGTATTTAAAACCTACCAAGGGTTCAAAATGATCTGGTCTCCTTACATCTCTGATCTTGGTCTTCTCCCTCCCAAACTGCTCCCTGGCTTGCTTTGTCATACCATCTGTTCTAGTTTGTTATCTGTTGGGATAAGTGCCATGACCAAAAGCAACTTGGGGAGGGAAGTGTTTATTTAGCGTAAATGTCCTGATCATAGTCATCATAGTGGGGAGTCAGGGCAGTAGCTGAAACTGAGACCACGGGAGAATGCTGCTTACTGACTTGCTCTCTATAGCTTGTTCAGCCTGCTTTCTTCTAAGTCCAAAACCACCTACCCAGGTGGCATAACCCACAGTGAGCTGACTCGTCCTACATCAATTGTTAATCAAAATGCCCCACAAACATGCCCACAGGCCAGTCTGATGACGGTAATTCCTCAGTTAAGATTCTCCTTTCCCAGCCAGCTCTAGTTTGTGCCAAGTTGACAAAAACTAAGCAGCACACTGGCCTTGGTCCTTCTTGAACATTGCAAGCATAGGTGCTGCAATGAGGCTCTTGCCTCTCCTGTTTTCTCTGCCTATATATTTCAGGCCAGATGTCCACGTTTCACCTCTTCCTCAGTGATTCTGATGAACAGATGTAGGAACCTTGCTAAAGGAATAAAAAAAAAAAAAAAAAACACTGTTTTTCTCCTATGCGGTTTTACATCAAGTACTTGACTTTTAAACATGTAGCTATATACTTGGGATCTGATTACTCGTGTAATAGGCATAATTGCTAAACTCCTAACATATTGCCTTAATTTCTGTGATGAGAAAACTGAGGCTTACAAAGATGATGTAACTATCTAAGATCACTGAGTAAGTTTTGTAGAATCACATTTAAACTTGTCTCGATAAACTCCAGAGCCCAATCTTATAATCACTTGGACTTTCAGCCAGACATTGTAGTTCATTACTGCAATCTTAGCACCATAGAGATGGAGGAAGGGCTACACAACCTTGTCTCAAAATAAGTGTAAGTTGCAAAAAACTACAAATGAAAAGAGAAAATCAGAACTTTCACTCACCTGTCATTTTTCATTTTTTGAGACCGAGTCTCACTGTATATGTTGGTATATGTAGATCAGGATGGCACATGCCTTTAATCCCAACACTCATGAGACAGAGCTGGAAGATCTATGAGTTCAAGGCCATATTATATACATATAATTTAATCCCTTTGTTCTGGGATTAAAGGTGTGCACTGGCATGCCCAGCTTCCCCTGTTTTGTTTGTTTTAGAAAGGGTTTCTCTGTGTAACAGCTGTGGCTGTTCTGGAACTCACTCTGTAGACCGGGCTGATCTCACATTCACAGAGATCCACCTGCCTCTACCTCCTGAGTGCTGGGATAAAGAGCATGCACCACCACTACCTAGCACCCCTGTCACTTAATTACACTCTGAGAAATACATCTGTTGATGAGTTTCTCAGCCTCAGTTCTATTCTTGTTTTCTCATTGGATAATCCTTCACTGAGGGCAGGAGCTGTAGAATGTTTAACATTTCTAGTCTCTATTCAGATATCAATATCACTGATTCCTTCCTCCACTTGTGATAACCAGAACTGTCTGCAGAGACTGCCAAATGTCCACAGTAGAGAAGTACTGTTAGATGATTATACCTTTTTTCTCTGTCATTTAGTCTCCCTCCCTATAGAGACAATGTTAAAACACTGATGTTTCCAGAAAGATTATTTAAAATAAGCCTACTTTGGCCCGGCAGTGGCAGTACACGCCTTTAATCCCGGCACTCAGGAGGCAGAGCCAGGCAGATCTCTGTGAGTTCCAGGCCAGCCTGGTCTACAGAGCGAGATCCAGGACAGGCACCAAAACTGCAGAGAAACCCTGCCTCGGAAAAAAAAAAAAGACAAAAAATAAGCCTACTTTTAAATTTCTACATATTATTACTGGAATGGGGGGGTATGTATGGTGGTCAGAAGACAATTTTGTGGCATTGGTTCTCTCCACACTCACATGGGTTTCAGGAACTGAACTCAGGTTGCCAGGCTTTCCTGGTAAGTGCTTTTACCTACTGAGTCATCTCGCCAGCCTAAATAAGCCTGTTTTGAAGTGAAGCTATTTGCTCTGAGTAGCCATGCAGTTATTCCTTAGAGTGAATGCCAAAACAAAGAACCAGAGAATGGGTAATGGTTTGTTTAAATGTTGTGTTGTTTTGTAATCAGAGTCTCACTACATACATAGCCCAGGCTAGTCTGTGTTATGCCCAGATCGATGGACCCCCCCCCTCAAAAGACCACAACAGAGACCAAATCCCATATGTAAAAGCAAAGAGCCTTTATTCAACCTCGAGCTTGGTCTCTCTGCCTGTCTGACTCAGCTGTGAGAGCAGAGAGTCCCAAACCTGGGCAGGGTGGGTTTTTTTTAATCATAACAGAGGTTGGGGTGAGGGGATTTCCAGGGTTCAGGACCCTGATTGGCTGACATTTGTCTAGGGGTTATCTTGGTAAAAAGAGGAAATAGGTCTGTGCTAGGCTCATGGACATCTCTCAATCTTATCTAACCTTAATGGTTGCACTGTTTGGGATGTCAGGTTCTTCCCCTTAGATGCTGGTGAATCCCTGGGTGGTGTCAGCTTATGGCTTTTCCCGGATCAGGGTGTTGCCTGCCAGCAAACCTGTCATGGCAGCTGTGTGGTCAAGCTGTTTTGGGCCCCCCACAGTCTGGAACTATGTAGCTTAGCTTTTCCCCAAACTTGCAACAATCCTTCCTCAGCCTCACATGTGCTAGAATTATAGGTGTGAACTACCAGGCCTGGTTACTGCTTTTACTCAGTTTTGAAGGCTTCAGCTCTAAGATCAAGGTAAAGACAAGTCTGATTTCTTCTGAGGTCTCCATGGCTTACAGGTGATTAGTGGCTGGGAAGTGTACTCCTTTATGCCTAGGTGCTAACTGCCTTTGTTTTGTTTTGTTTTTGAGACAGGGACTCACTATGTAAAGGCTGGCCTTTAACTGATATATTTACCCTCCTCTGTCTCCTCAGTCCTGGGATTAAAGGCCTGTGTCACCATGCCCAGCTTAATGTCATTTTCCAAGTCATACTAACTTGGTGTCAAGTCTAAGGATCTCATTTCAATATAATCACTTCTTTAAAGATCTTACCCCCAAATACAATCATATGCATAGATATTTGGAGTTAGAACTTTAACGTGAATTGTAGGAGGTTCAGTCCCTAATATCGACTGAGCAACCTACCATGTGCAGACATTCTGTTAAGTGCTGGTACTAAACAACAGACCTGGCTACAGGAAGTTAGGGAGGACAGATTTTTTTTCTGTACCATCCAAATATTCAATTAAAGTTTGGAAAGGGAGGGCAGAAGGCCTTCTCCCTTTCCCCTCAGACTTTCCAGCCTGCCTGGGCCAGTAAAAGAGTCATATTAAAACTCAGCTAACTATGAGGTTTATGAGTCAGCAGCCTGTCAAGCTGGGACTCACTTGGCTAGGAGTCAGCAGATGGTGGCCAAGCCAACATCCTGCACTGCCTCAATTTCCCCTCCACTCCTCCACTGTGACGCAGGGCCCCGGGGCAGCCCCTTCTGGACTTCAGGGCCTCGCTCGCTCCACCCACTGCGTGCCCTCCCTTGGCAGGGAGCCCCTCCCCAGAAGGCATCTCCCTTGGCTCCCACCAGAAGGCATCCTCTGGGCCACGCCTGCGCCGTAGGGCTGAGGGAGGGCGGGAGGCCGGCCCCGCAGATGGGGGAGGAGGAGGAGGGCGGGGAGAAGCGCCGTCTGCAGCCGCGACGCCATTTGCCACTGCCAAGCGTGGGCACAGGCGGCTCTCGGAAGCACCGGCGACCAACCTCTTCCGAGCACGCTTCTCGGCCTCCCGCATAGTCTTCCTCCCGCGCGTTTCTCAGCGTCGTCCCTCGGAGTCACCGCCGCTCCTGCCGCCTTCCGGAGCACGGTCGCACACGCCGCCTGCCCGGTTTTGCCGCCATGCCCAAGAATAAAGGTAACGACGCCGGGACCACGGCTTCGCTCCCCGCCGGCGTCCCTGGTCCAGCTCGCGGCCTCGAGGTCATCCCAGGCCGCAGTGACCTTCCTGCCATCTTTCCTTGCCTCTCCTCTGGCTACGTTCTCTGTGTCCTACTCGGAGCTCGGCAGAGGCGCAAGGAAGTTACTCCGGGTTCCCAGTTTGGCTACATTGGGGTGGAGCCGACGCCATTTTTTTTGTAGGGCCTCCTGTGTGAGAATGTGGGCTTGTGCCCCTGATTCGCGCCACACTGACCGCGGCGCCAAGGGGACCCGTGGGAACACCTGCCTCGGGCTTCTTGGGCATCCGGCACGTGGGGAGTTAAGCCCTGGGAGCGACTCTGAACTTTGAAAAAGGGTAATGCCCCGCTGGCTTTCGTGCCCATCTGGCACCTCCTGCCTAGGCTTCTTTATGGACACTTACTTGATACTGTTGATGCCGTTCCGGAGTAGCCGGTGGTCAGTACTTCGAAGCATTTTTAAAGTTGTCTCGAGAGAATCACTTTACTCCATGGCTTTACAGGGCTTAACTCACCCCCACCCACCCCAGAGCACTTGACCCTTTTTAGCCAAGTTTTCCACTTTTGCTTCAGGTCATGCATTTGTTTTGATGGAAAAATAAAAAACCTTTGAAGTTCCCTCCATCCCGGGAACAAATGTTCTCAAATTATCAGTCATGAGGGTACTTTAATTTGGGATCTCCAAAATTTGAAGAGCCTACTCTAAGTAAAAGTACAGCATTCCTAAGGTCATTCTCATTTGTATATACTAACAGTATTTTGTGATAGTAGATTTTTTGTAGGAACAAATCTGTCCTTAGCAGGACCCTACTGCTTTGCTTTGCCCCCAGGCTGAACCGGAGCTTACTCAATAGCCGAGACTAACATTGAACTTGGGATTCTCCTGCTTAAACTTCCCAGGTAGCTGGAATTACAGGCTTGCCGTACTCATTGTCCGTATAATTTCTCAAAAATTGTGCAAGTAAAGATAGTGAAAAACTCGTATTTCCTACAAGAGAGGAACGCATTACCCAGCCCTGGGCCAGTCGGTGGTGGCTCACGCCTTTAATCCCAGCACTTGGGAGACAGAGGCCAGTAGGATCTCTGGAGTTCCAGGACAGCCTGGACTACACAAAGAAGATAAAAATGAAGTTTTCTTTGTGCAGAGAGATATCTTCCTGGTTAAGAGAAAAAATTAGGTTCCCATACTCACATGGGGCAGCTCATGACTGCCTTGTAACTTCAGTTCTAGGGGATCCGGTGCCCTCTTCTGACCCACCTGGGGACTCCACCGCACACACATTTTTTAAATGAAGTCTTTGATAATTCATCCTTGGGACACCTCCCTTGCGCCATGCCTCCTAGTGTTCTCTTTAATGCTTGAAAGTTGGCTTCCGGGAGTCTACCTAATTACTCTTTATACCTGTCACTATTCACATTAGCCCTCGGAGTACTTGGTCACAGTTTTGTGAACAAGTTGATTTGAGATAGTCTTGCTGTGTGGCCCAGGCTGACCTTGAACTCACTGTCCCCCGCCCCCAACCCCACTTCAAGGCCGCAAAAAAATCAAGGTTGCCAGTTTTTTTGTGTGTAGCAAGGGTTTTTTTTTTTATTTTATTTTTTTCTTATTCTTTTTTTTTTTTTTTTTTGGTTTTTTTCAAGACAGAATTTCTCTTTAATTTTGGTGCCTGTCCTGGTTCTCACTGTAGACCAGGCTGGCCTTGAACTCACAGAGATTCACCCGGTTCTGCCTCCTGAGTGCTGGGATTAAAGGTGTGTGCCACCACCACCTGGTGTAGCAAGGATTTTTACTAATTATCCTGAGAAAAGTGTGATTATAGGTATAATATGTTCAAAGTTTTAAAATTCCTATATGTAGACTTCCTTATTCTGAGATGGCAACTGAATCACTTCAACAGGTGAGGTGTCTTATTCTCACCTTAATTCTAGTGACAAGATTTCCAGTTCCCATACTAATTGTAAGCCCTAAAAGGATGAGAATGGTGTCAGTCATAATCACATTGGCTTGATAGCACTTAGCCTAAAAGATGCTCAATAAATACTTGTTGGACTTACTCATCTCCCTTCTGGTGACTCCACCTATAAGTGAATAGTAGGTTCCTCTTTGGTCCCACTGAGACAGAACTTCTACAATAAATCCTATCTAGTCACTAGCCTAGTATATTTTAAGAAAGATCCTACCTGGGCTATTTCTCTGAAACACCTCTGTAAAGAATGAATTTGAGAATTGTGATTGAGCTTAAGAACTAGATAGTCTTTTAAAAAGAAAGTGGGTTAAAAAGAAAAGACTGGTTATTCTATTTGTTACTGTTTTGTCATACACTCAGGCTTGGTCTCATTTCATTCTTTACTTTTTTATTGCTGTTGTTTGTTTGTTTGTTACAGGGTCTCACTGTGTAGCCCTCCCTGGCTGTCCTGAAACTCACTATGTAGACCAGGCTGGCCTCAAATGTACAGAGATTGGCCTGCCCCTGCCTACCAAGTGCCAGGGTTAAAGTTGTGCCCCAACATATCTGGCCTCCATTCTTTCAAAAGAGAATTTGGAGAGGATTTGATTGCGTGGCAATAAAATAGAGAGGGGAAGAATGTATTGCTTGGGGTTACAGGCAAGCACCACTATACCTATCTGCTCATTTCATTTGGGGGGAGTGGGGGATGGGGGAGTTCAAGACAGGGTTTCTCTGTGTAGCCCTAGCTGTCCTGGAACTCACTCTGTAGATCAGGCTCCTGGCTTCAAACTCACAGAGATCCGCCTGGGATTAAAGGCATTTGCCACCACTACATTTTTTTATTACTGTATAATATCCCATTGTATAGTGCCATTATTTATATGCTTACCCTTAAAGTGTATAGGGCTAACCGGGCAGTGGTAGCGCACGCCATTAATCCTTTAATCCCAGCATGTGGGAGGCAGAGGCAGGCAGATCTCATCAGTGAGTTCAAGGCCAGCCTGGGCTACAGAGCGAGGAGTTCCAGGACAGTCAGGACTGTTACACAGAGAAACCCTGTCTCAAAAAACCAAAAAAAAAAAAGAGTAAGAGAGGTTTGGTGTGGTGAACCCTTTAAAATATGTAGGGCTGGAGAGATGGCTCATCAGTAAGGGCACTGGCTGCTCTTCCGGAGGTCTTCAGTTCAACTCCCAGCACCCACATGGCAGCTTACAACTGTCTGTAACTCCATTTGTTGGGTGTCCAATGCCCTTTTCCAGTGCCTGTTTCAGAACTGGACATGCCCGTGATGGACAGACATACACGAACACCAAACACCCATAAACATTAAACAAATTTTAAAGGAGGCTCTAGAGGCAAATTAACACCTTGCCTTTAAACTTAAACTGTCTCGGGAATGGTACATTTTAAAGGATACAGTTCAGAATCTTTAACTATTACTAGTCTTCTACCATCGTGAAATCAGTATGTTCCATTCCAGTGGCAACAACTTCATTTTTCTCTCTCCTATCTTTTTACCAGGGGGTCAGGCATGAGTAAGGCAAGGTGTTTTTGTAAAATTTATCAGGACTTACTGTGGTGGCTGACACTTGTAATCCCTAGCATTCAGGAGGCAGAGACAGGAGGACTGCCCAGATTTCAAAGCTAGCCTGGGCTAGAGTGTGAGACCCTGTCTCAAAAAAAAAGAGAGAGAGAGAGAGAAGAAAGAAGGAAAGAAAGAAAGCAAGCAAGCAAGTGGAGGCCCATGTGGTTAAGATTATGGTGACAGTTTTCTCCAGAAAGGAGCCCTAATATGAGAGCTCTAGTAGGACAAGGAAGGATTAGGGCTGTACTTGGGGTCCCGAGCTCATTGATTAAAATTTTGAGTGAGTTATTTAATCTCTGAACTTTAGTGAACTTACTGATAAACTGGGAATCAATAACTTAATATTCAAGGTGATTGTGACAAAGTAAGTGGAAGGCATTGTCACAGAGTTAAGAGCATTGGCCACTGGTCATCTAGCCACTCCTAAGAGCCAGTGCCATGCCCAGCAGTAGATGCCAACACAAAAGGAACTCAATGCCATCTTTGGGGGTTCCTTTATCACATGATCTGTCAGAACTTTTTTTTTTAATACCTTACTTAATAGCTCCTTTGCTGTATAGTATGGCTTCTGGGTGTGGGTTTTTATGGGATTCCTGTGTGTGTGTCTGTCTGTCTGTCTGCATTTCTTGTGCTTTTCTTTTTTTCTTTTGTTTTTGTTTGTTTGTCCCGTCCCGTCCCCCCCCTCCCCCCCGGAGCTGGGGACGAACCCAGGGCCTTGCACTAAATCCCCAACCCCTTCTTGTGCTTTTCTTTGGCTCTTTTTCTGGTTTGGTTTTGTCATATTCCAATTTGTTTGGTTTTGATTTATTGTGTCTTACTTTATTTTCATTTCTTAGATTCCTGTTCATTTTCTCATGAGAGACAGAAAGTGGTTGGATCTGGATGGGAAGGAGGTGGGGAGGAACTGGGAGATTGGGGGGGGGTGTCAGAATATATTATATGAAAAACATTTTCAATAAAAAAAAATGAGGTTGTTATTTAAGATGCAAAATCCCCGAAGAAAATTCCATGAGGAGTGGAGAGGATAACATGGTAACATGATTGACCAGATTAATTTTTAAATTAATTGACTTCTAAAGATGCTTTTCTAGGTCTGTTAAACAATATAGGTTTAACACTTGATGTTTTGCAGATAATTGACATCTTTTCTTTCTTTTAACAACCCACTAGGAAAAGGAGGTAAAAACAGACGCAGAGGAAAGAATGAGAATGAATCTGAAAAGCGAGAGCTGGTCTTCAAAGAGGATGGGCAAGGTAAGAAAGAGGATGGAGAAACTGGGCTCTTGTTAGATTTTTCTTTGTTTGTTTGCCTGGGTTGAGAATTGAACATTTTCTGACTAAGACTAGAGTCCTGGCTTCTTGCCTCTGTTGGTGTTTGTTTATTTGTACAGACAATTGGGTATTATCTTTTTTTTCTGGGTTTTTTTTTTGTTTTGTTTTGAGACAGGGTTTTTCTGTGTAGCTTTGGTACCTGTCCTGGAATCACTCTGCAGCCAGGCTGGCCTCGAACTCACAGAGATTTGCCTGCCTCTGCCTCCCAAGTGCTGAGAATGAGGGTATTATCTTTTTTAAAAGATTATGGTTAAGAATTTGGCATTTTAGGCCAGGCATGGTAATGTACACCTTTAATCCCAACACTCGGGAGGCAGAGACAGACATGTGAATCTCTTGAGTTCCAGGATAACCAAGGCTATGTGGTGATACCCCTTCTTAGAACAAAGAGAATAATTTGGCATTTTACCCAAGTAAAAGATAATTCTGGCTTTCTGAGGATAATTACTGTTATACTAATTCAGCAAGGATATCACTAACATTTAAAGTACTTATACTGATTCCATGAGACTGCTCTAAAGATTTAAAGAGAGAAATAAGGAATACAAAACATTCAAGATATGAATGTGAGCTTTATGAAGTATAGTGTACATACTGGGACATGGTACCTTTGATCTCTAGAAGTAAAGCGTGGTCACAAGGGCAGCCAGTAGTCAGTCTGTCTCCTTACTGAAAACGAGTAGATAATTAAAACATCTAATAACAGACCCAGCTTGTTATATTACAAAGTGTTGTTTCTGGTTCAGCCATTAACTAGCCGAGTGTTTGACTCCCTTCTATTTATTTTATATTTGCCCTATGTATATTTATCCCTAACCAGTGCAGCCACATGCTCTTTTCAAACTTCAATGGACATGCAAAGTTGCTTTCATCAAAAAAAGTGAGCAATATTTCGTACCTTTTTTCTCCCCTGCCCCATCCATGTAGAATATGCTCAGGTAATCAAAATGTTGGGAAACGGACGATTAGAAGCAATGTGTTTCGATGGTGTAAAGAGACTATGCCACATCAGAGGGAAGTTGAGAAAAAAAGTAAGTGTGTAGATAGAACGTTTGTTTTATTCTAATATGAAAGTGTTGAGGGTAGAGGAAATGCCTCTACAGGGGTGTGTGTGTGTGTGTGTGTGTGTGTGTGTGTGTGTGTGTG